TAAAGAATACGAAATCTTCAATACCTTCTGCGAGCGTGCTACTATTCTACTATTCTACTTCGTGATCGAAGGAGGCGTTTGAATACGTGAAGACCTTTTACAATGACTTGCGGGAGCCAACCGATTATCAAGTCAGTGCTTTTATCCTCCCAAATTATTCTAGTATGAGTAATAGAAGATAAAGTAAGTGAAAAAAAGGGGAAGATTTTTGCCCAAGACCTTTCCCTTTAATTTTCGCTACGTTAGCATATCTTTTGGGTCTAACAGGAACGAAAGCTGAAAATGTCAAATCGTAGTTTGAGATCACCTTGTTTTTTAATCAATGTCCTTCAGCTGTCTTATCATCATTTGAATCAAGTGCATGATCTTTCGAGAATGTATCATTGTTTCTTTTTGTCGCAATCTTGCTCTGCATGACTGTCGACAGACTGTTGTCTTATTCAGACAAAACCAAGATTGTTTATATGCCTTGATCGCCTACTTTCATTCTTCCTGATTATTTCATAGCTTCAAAAGGCTTTGATCTGTTTGATAGGCGCAACTATGTCTTCTACTTACAAGACTAGACTTTTCTGACGTTTTACTGGTCACCCCTATAATGAAGCCGTTGTTTGGAAAAAAAGGACCGTTGCATTCCTCTTTTAAGAGCTGGTTTGTTCTTCCCAATAACAACGTAGTCGAAATCTGTACCCCATCAATCTGTGCTGTTTCTGCCTTCCTCAGAGTAAGCTTCCCTTTTCTGTAATAACAATTGATCTCGCTTCCTTTATTACATTTCTGAAGCCAAAAACGAGGAAAGTTTGGGGGAATTCCATCTACTTGAAGACTGTCTAAATGACAGATACGTTTAGTTCGATCATACAACTTGCCATGTTGCAGTTGGTGGCAATGTCGGCCACTACAGCAATCGCTCTTGACAAGATAGACTGTGATATGAGTACCGTCACCGACTATGACCCAGCTTATATAAAAAGGTAATTATCTAGGCATTGTAATTCTCCATTTTCGCCTCCACCTATAACTTTGTTGAAGTTTATTTGAACCGTTTGTTGGGCGATTAAACGAAGAAGTCACAAAGACATGCTTGGAACTGGGTATTACAGCCACTGAAGTCGTCTACATCCTTTGCACCTTGGTGTGGCATGTAGAAGGTAAATAAATTTGCCTTATCTTATTTACGCTTGTTCAAATGGCGTTAGAGCTCAATTAACATGATTG